GTCTGGAACTGTAGCCTCTGTAACCAGCATCAACAGGACAACCATGTCTGACTGTCTGGAACTGTAGCCTCAGTAACCAGCATTAACAGAACAACCATGTCTGACCGTACAACATCTGGAACTGTAGCCTCTGTAACCAGCATCAACGGAACAACCATGTCTGACTGCACAACATCTTGAGAATAAGGAACAAGGTGGTTCGAGTTGTCTTATATTTCTTACATTCGGTAAACGAAACAAACTTCAATATTCAGTCAAAATTTAGCAAACTGAAAATGAATGCTTATTTTGTAATGTTTATTCACAGGAACACACAGTACCCTCGTGAATAGGTGAAACCTGATAATCTGGTGATAGTCAATAGTCTGTGAATGGATAACTGGAGACCCAGTTGCCAGATGGGAGGAAATCATGGGGATTTTTACTAATTGTAGCACGTGTAGCAGCTGTAGCAGCTGTAGCAAATGTTTCGACTGGACCAACAGAGCTCCTGTCAATGATTGTTTCATATAATCAAAGTCAGTTTAAAACAACACAACTTTTCAGATATGGATAACCATATTACAACAATTTGTTCATACTGTTTTAGGTACATGACATAACTGTATAACATTTACCTTCTGTTGTATCAGCAGATTTAGAAACATCATACCATTACACATTCCGCCCATGCATTTTTCTGATTTATGCATTACTTTGCTGCGGAAATGAGACATTAAGTATAATGAAGAGGATCATGCATGATGCTGAAACCAATGAATGTATAATACAGAACACAGTTGTATAGAAAGTAGCATGAGTAGGTTGGGGCTTTCATGTTCTGAACAGTATTTAATGGCAGGTCAGCTCTATGTGGAAGAAAGTGAGTGTGTTAGGAAAGTGATGCAACACGAAGGAGGGACACAACTCTGCCCCTTCATGGAGGAAGATTTGCCGGAGATTGAACAAGGAAGATATAGAGTTGGTTACCATTAATTCATACATGTCCTTCACATTTTAGAAAATACATATTACTAATTCCTGCTTCACTCCTATTCAGAGAATACCCTGTTTTATATGTTCACCAAAATTCAATGGAGTTATATCATTGGGTATTATTTAACTGAAACGCCACTAGATTGAGAGAAAACATGGGTACAGCTGATTACTGCTTCCGGCTAAGTTTATGAGAAATTACACATGGTAATTGTAAGCCCTGCATATTAAACAATGCCTTGCATAACAAGAAATACAGTTGAAATGGTAAATCTTCACATCTAGAGATGTTTTATCTCCAAGTTTGTTATCACCTGTTTATTCACCTGAATTTGTTGAAGGGATATGATGTAGTTTTTGACTGTGCATAATACTGGAATAATCTTATGCACATCATAATAGGGTAGTTCTTGCCTCCTTGGAATATGTGCAGGGGAGGTAACTGACAATGGATTTAGATATCAGGAAATTCATTTATTTGGACAATATTTGAGAAAACACAACTATCCGGATAAGTGTGGTCCAACTGTAATTTACTTGCATCACACCACAAGATGTAAACACTATAATGTGATATATTTGATGACCTACAATGTCACTGGACAGCCTGAACCTTGGTAGATGTACTTTGTATGGGCTGCAACTCCCTGGGTAGGGAGCTAGGTCAGCCAGAGACAGTGGGAATCACAAACAACAGTTTCAAGTTGACCAAAAGCTGTTGTGTTGACTATCAATGTAGAAATCAGTTTTATAACAAAATCTTACAAGGCAGTCTGCATGTAAACTTGCGGCTTGAAGCATGCAATCTCGTCTTATTCCAAGCCTGGGGATATTTGATTAAATTTACTGGTATACCTGTAAGCTTGGCAAACCAGTGATGCATATGGCCAATATCCGTGCTTTCCATACGACTGCACTGATCCCAATTACACCGACAGGAACCCTGTGGCAGTGGTCTCCCCGGAGAGAGGAATCACAGTCTTTGTTGTGGTTACACTTGAGGGGAATATTGTTTCCTATCAGATATGTTAGTCTGTGTTCTTGACTAAATCATGTCCCATGACAGGCCATTGTTTCTGGCTGAATCCTGTCACATCAAACCCTCAAAGCCAGAGAGTCATCATAACATATTTTATTGGCAAAACAGTGATGAATGTTATATGAATAGACCACTGGAAGTCATGACCCCTGGTGTTTGCAAAGAGAGTAAGCATGCCCTGCTCTACCAATAGCACCCGCAACTTAAACAATTTTAATAAAAAAGGTAGTGTTTGTCATGACTTTATGTTGTCTTTTATTGAATCCAGTCACATGACTTGCCACTAACTTTGACAGACATTCATTAAATGGCTTTTCCATATGCTCCATAAGGAATAACACGGTCTTGATATGAGGGAATGGGATGATTCCTCACATGCCACAACAGTAGCCTTCTTGTGATATGAGAAACATTCTACACATACTGGCTCAGCATCAAGACAATAATGTTACACGTCAACATGTTTATGATAAATGAAAGAAAGAAAGCAAGAATGAATGAATGAATGAATGAATGAATGAATGAATGAATGAATGAATGAATGAATGAATGAATGAATGAATGAATGAATGAATGAAAGAAACCAGGCAGACAGAAAGGTCACACCCTCAGAGATCAAACACTAGCCAGCTCCTGCAACTTCATTGATTAATCATTACAATTAATCACAACCCGATATGATGTGGCACTTCCCAATTGCAGCAGGCATTATTGATTCTGTAGACACGACTGTGTGCACAGCAGTGATCAAACAGGGGCTGCACTATACTGCCACCCACACTACATGCCCTAGCCAGAACACACCCTTTGTCAGGACTCCCTACGCATACATGTGTGACGTTTAAACGATGTATTTTGTTTTTATTTTAAAAGACAAAAAGTGATCCGAAAACATTTCTTGTTCGTGTTATACGGTTTTATTCATGGTATTCTCTTTGCTTGTTCTTTGTCTAGGCCAAGTTAATGAATATGCATAGCACGTGCATTTCATGTTAGGGGGAATCTTAGTTATAATACTTAGGATTTTAATTGGCTGATTTGATCATCTGCTTCAATGACATTGTACCTGGTGGTTTCGTGTGGCTTCCATTGCATTTTGAGAGCTGAACATAGTAGAATGGTCACCAGGTTAGTTTATATATTTTTTGTGAAAAGGTCTAACGTTATTAGGTCCTAGAATGGTTTGTATTATATATAAACTAAAGTTCTAGACTAAAACATCTATTTAACTAATTTTGATGTTAGCATTTTATAGACGTAAACTTGTAGTTGTGTTTTGCTACACTGGTTCAGGTTGCAAAGTTCATAAAGCTAATGTTTCAATTAACAGTTTAATAAATATTACATTTATTGCCAGTATCAAGTGTGTAGGTTGTATGTGCTGTGATAACACGTTCTGAGAATGTGAGGAGTAACATGTTATCAGTAATGTGTGCTTGTGATAAGCGTGTGTTGAATGTGTGTATTCTTATTTAGGTATAAGGTATTAAGGTATCAGTTTGCAGTGTTGCTTTGTCTTATAGGCGGGTGTGCTAATTTTGAATAAGAAATATTTAGATGTAAATTAAATTCTCATGTAGAGAATATATGTATTGTTTATGGGCCGAACACACCCCTTGTCAGGACTTCCTGCACTATTCTGTACCCCACACTACATGCCCTTGCCAGGGAGGCAGAACACACCCCTTGTCAGGACTTCCTGCACTATTCTGTACCCCACACTACATGCCCTAGCCAGGGAGGCAGAACACACCCCTTGTCAGGACTTCCTGCACTATTCTGTACCCCACACTACATGCCCTAGCCAGGGAGGCAGAACACACCCCTTGTCAGGACTTCCTGCACTTTACTGTACCCCACACTACATGCCCTAGCCAGGGAGGCAGAACACACCCCTTGTCAGGACTTCCTGCACTATACTGTACCCCACACTACATGCCCTTGCCAGGAAGGCAGAACACACCCCTTGTCAGGACTTCCTGCACTATTCTGTACCCCACACTACATGCCCTAGCCAGGGAGGCAGAACACACCCCTTGTCAGGACTTCCTGCACTATTCTGTACCCCACACTACATGCCCTTGCCAGGGAGGCAGAACACACCCCTTGTCAGGACTTCCTGCACTATTCTGTACCCCACACTACATGCCCTAGCCAGGGAGGCAGAACACACCCCTTGTCAGGACTTCCTGCACTATTCTGTACCCCACACTACGTGCCCTAGCCAGGAAGGCAGAACACACCCCTTGTCAGGACTTCCTGCACTATTCTGTACCCCACACTACATGCCTTGCCAGGAAGGCAGAACACACCCCTTGTCAGGACTTCCTGCACTATTCTGCCTCCCACACTACATGCCCTAGCCAGGAAGGCAGAACACACCCCTTGTCAGGACTTCCTGCACTATACTGTACCCCACACTACATGCCCTTGCCAGGAAGGCAGAACACACCCCTTGTCAGGACTTCCTGCACTATTCTGTACCCCACACTACATGCCCTAGGCAGGAAGGCAGAACACACCCCTTGTCAGGACTTCCTGCACTATACTGTACCCCACACTACATGCCCTAGCCAGGGAGGCAGAACACACCCCTTGCCAGGACTTCCTGCACTATTCTGTACCCCACACTACATGCCCTAGCCAGGAAGGCAGAACACACCCCTTGCCAGGACTTCCTGCACTATTCTGTACCCCACACTACATGCCCTAGCCAGGAAGGCAGAACACACCCCTTGCCAGGACTTCCTGCACTATTCTGTACCCCACACTACATGCCCTTGCCAGGAAGGCAGAACACACCCCTTGTCAGGACTTCCTGCACTATACTGTACCCCACTGTGTATAATTTGATGAACCCACAATGATCAAAACGACATGCAGTTATTCTTACCCATATTTGTTTTATTTTATTTTGCCAGCACAGCCAGCATCAACACCTTTTTTTTGTGTCAGCATTAACATGTGGTAGGCAAGGTGTACTTACCTGACAAAGTTCTCCGAATTTGGCTTTTTCTGTTTGTGATATATCCAAGCTGAAACAAAGAAGATGTGAATCAGTGAGTGAGTGAGTGAGTGAGTATGGTTTTTACGCCGCTTTTAGCAATATTCCGGCAATATCACGGCGGGGGACACCAGAAATGGGCTTCACACATTGTACCCATGTCAGGAATCGAACCCGGGTCTTCGGCGTGACGAGCGAACGCTTTAACCACTAGGCTACCCGACCGCCCCTGTGAATCAGTAATCAAGACAGTCTGAGTTGCTCAGTCTAGACTATAATTCACAATAATATCCAAGATACTCTCCATGATCCTCGCAATACCATCGGCATCACAACATCATCAGCATCACAACACCATCGGCATCACAACACCATCAGCATCACAACACCATCGGCATCACAACACCATCGGCATCACAACACCATCGGCATCACAACACCATCGGCATCACAACATCATCGGCATCACAACACCATCGGCATCACAACACCATCGGCAAATCAACAATCTTCATTAAGTATCTGGACATTATGAACACCAGTAGTAGCATTGCCATCACGACAATAATCCTCATCAATTTTCTACAGCTGACAACAACAGCAGCAGCAAGTAACGTCAACTCCATCATCATCACCAACACCACAGCTACAACTATCACCACCGTGATCCTAACATCATGATCCATCCATTCATAAACAGCACTAAGTTCGAGTGAGTGCATGGGTTTCACACAGATTCTGTAACGAGCTTGTTCTCTTCTAGGAAGACAACTCAGTATACCTGTACGACAAACCATATGTACACCAGCATGGCATGGTAATGTCAGCAAGGTGAAGTCAGGAGGGTGAGGTTGTGGAAGGTGAAGTCAGGAGGGTGAGGGTGTGGAAGGTGAAGTCAAGAGGGTGAGGGTGTGGAAGGTGAGGTCAGGAGGGTGAGGGTGTGGAAGGTGAAGTCAGGAGGGTGAGGGTGTGGAAGGTGAAGTCAAGAGGGTAAGGTTGTGGAAGGTGAAGTCAGGAGGGTGAGGGTGTGGAAGGTGAAGTCAGGAGGGTATGGGTGTGGAAGGTGAAGTCAAGAGGGTAAGGTAGTGGAAGGTGAAGTCAGGAGGGTGAGGGTGTGGAAGGTGAAGTCAGGAGGGTGCGGTTGTGGAAGGTGAAGTCAGGAGGGTGAGGGTGTGGAAGGTGCAGTCAGGAGGGTGAGGGTGTGGAAGGTGCAGTCAGGAGGGTGAGGGTGTGGAAGGTGAGGTCAGGAGGGTGAGGGTGTGGAAGGTGAAGTCAGGAGGGTGAGGGTGTGGAAGGTGAAGTCAAGAGGGTCAGGTTGTGGAAGGTGCAGTCAGGAGGGTCAGGTTGTGGAAGGTGAAGTCAGGAGGGTGAGGTTGTGGAAGGTGCAGTCAGGAGGGTCAGGTTGTGGAAGGTGAAGTCAGGAGGGTGAGGTTGTGGAAGGTGCAGTCAGGAGGGTGAAGTTGTGGAAGGTGAAGTCAGGAGGGTGAGGTTGTGGAAGGTGAACTCAGGAGGGTGAGGTTGTGGAAGGTGAAGGCAGGAGGGTGAGGTTGGGGAAGGTGAGGTTGTGGAAGGTGAAGTCAAGAGGGTGAGGTTGTGGAAGGTGAGGTCAGGAGGGTGAGGTTGTGGAAGGTAAGTTCAGGAGGGGTGGTTGTTGAAGGTGAACTCAAGAGGGTGAGGTTGTGTAAGGTGAGGTCAGGAGGGTGAGGTTGTTGAAGGTGAGGTCAGGAGGGGAGGTTGTGGAAGGAGAGGTCAGGAGGGGAGGTTGTGGAAGGAGAGGTTGTGGAAGGTGCGGTCAGGAGGGGAGGTTGTGGAAGGAGAGGTCAGGAGGGTGTGGTTGTGAAAGGTGAGGTCAAGAGGGTGAGGTTGTGCAAGATGAAGTCATGACGGGAGGTTTTTGGAAGGTGACGTCAGGAGGGTGAAGTCAAAAGGGTGGTGTCAGATGGGTGAAATAAGGAGTTTGTTGTGAGGTCAGAAGGGTGAAATCGGGGTTGAAATAAGGACGTCAGTTGACAATAGCATCGGTGACCACTGTTTTGGACATCATAATTTTGTTTTCACTTAGTCTCAGGTAGAACCCCAAAATATATGTCTCAAAGCACATATGATATGATTGCTTACAAATCTTCCAACGTATGATTTTTTAGAATCTTGTATTCATCTGAAAATGGCAATGACATAACATGACAACATATGTGAGGAGATTTCAATCAAATGAGTCGATATCAGTGTTGTGACCAAGATGAAAAGAAGAACAGACAGCTGCGTTATGTCCCCCGTATGATAAGGATGGGATTGCAGCTCTCCACATCACACAGCAGGCAGCTGCCATGTCCTGGACAGGCTCACCCAATACATTCAGCCTGACCAACATCACTAAGAAGATCTAAGATCAAGCTTCAAGAGCTGAATCCAATCTGAGGATTAACACATACACATACATGTACATACAAGCTGGGACCTCAGGGACCTATACAAGAGAGCAGGAGATGTCAGCTAGGTCTTCATCCAAACTCCACCATCAATTGTTTCAAGGAAATGAGGATAACAACAATTGGTGGATGTTCAATAGAATGTATCATGGACTAGAAAGAGATGTGTGGGCAGAAGTCATAATTAATGTAAGCCGCTTTATAAGGAAATGGCAATACCTGCTAGAAAACTTGTATGTTTATGCACATGTGTAAATATACCCCCAATTCATGTTAAACATGTAACATAATCATATCTGCATATTGTGATCTTCATTCAATTGGAGGAAATAAAGAATATCTGTCTCTACACACAAGGAACATCATCTGTCTCTACACACAAGGTACATCATCTGTCTCTACACACAAGGTGCACCATCTGTCTACACACAGTACATCATCTGTCTCTACACACAAGGTACATCATCTGTCTCTACACACAAGGTACATCATCTGTCTCTACACACAAGGTACATCATCTGTCTCTACACACAAGGTACATCATCTGTCTCTACACACAAGGTACATCATCTGTCTCTACACACAAGGTATATCATCTGTCTCTACACACAAGGTACATCATCTGTCTCTATACACAAGGTACATCATCTGTCTCTACACACAAGGTACATCATCTGTCTCTACACACAAGGTGCACCATCTGTCTCTACACACAAGGTACATCATCTGTCTCTACACACAAGGTATATCATCTGTCTCTACACACAAGGTATATCATCTGTCTCTACACACAAGGTACATCATCTGTCTCTACACACAAGGTACATCATCTGTCTCTACACACAAGGTACATCATCTGTCTCTACACACAAGGTACATCATCTGTCTCTACACACAAGGTATATCATCTGTCTCTACACACAAGGTATATCATCTGTCTCTACACACAAGGTACATCATCTGTCTCTACACACAAAGTACATAATCTGTCTCTACACACAAGGTACATCATCCGTCTCTACACACAGTACATCATCTGTCTCTACACACAAGGTACATCATCTGTCTCTACACACAAGGTACATCATCTGTCTCTACACACAAGGCACATCATCTCTCTTTACACACAAGGTACATCATCTGTCTCTACACACAAGGTACATCATCTGTCTCTACACACAAGGTACATCATCTGTCTCTACACACACAGTACATCATCTGTCTCTACACACAAGGTACATCATCCGTCTCTACACACAGTACATCATCTGTCTCTACACACAAGGTACATCATCTGTCTGTACACACAAGGTACATCATCTGTCTCTACACACAAGGTACATCATCTGTCTCTACACACAAGGCACATCATCTCTCTTTACACACAAGGTACATCATCTGTCTCTACACATAAGGTACATCATCTGTCTCTACACACAAGGTACATCATCTGTCTCTACACACAAGGTACATCATCTGTCTCTACACACAAGGTACATCATCTGTCTCTACACACAAGGTACATCATCTGTCTCTACACACACAGTACATCATCTGTCTGTACACACAAGGTACATCATCCGTCTCTACACACAGTACATCATCTGTCTCTACACACAAGGTACATCATCTGTCTGTACACACAAGGTACATCATCTGTCTCTACACACAAGGTACATCATCTGTCTCTACACACAAGGCACATCATCTCTCTTTACACACAAGGTACATCATCTGTCTCTACACACAAGGTACATCATCTGTCTCTACACACAAGGTACATCATCTGTCTGTACACACAAGGTACATCATCTGTCTCTACACACAAGGTACATCATCTCTCTTTACACACAAGGTACATCATCTGTCTCTCCACACAAGGTACATCATCTGTCTCTACACACAAGGTACATCATCTGTCTCTACACACAAGGTACATCATATGTCTCTACACACAAGGTACATCATCTGTCTCTACACACAAGGTACATCATCTGTCTCTACACACAAGGTATATCATCTGTCTCTACACACAAGGTACATCATCTGTCTCTACACACAAGGTATATCATCTGTCTCTACACACAAGGTATATCATCGGTCTGTTCCTTCTATCACTCCTGCAGTATTTGCCCCCACAGTTTCAGCATGTTTCATCATCAATCCCCTCCTCATCATGTAATGTTCAAAGAGATTCATCTTGTGAGCTGTGAAGAAATGAAGTCAATAACAACCCACAGAATTCTGCCTCCCTTCATTGATTAGAATCTCATATCGCTGAAAGGATATATCCTGCGCCATTATGGAGATCAATATGGCCAGAACGAAATGGAGAAGCCTCATCCGACCAAAATAAAGTCAGCTTTCTTGACTGGGCTTTAATACAATGAAAGTATTTGTCTGTTTCAGCAAACCCCAAAACTTGGCTGGTTTGAAGTATTTCACACCCATGCTCCTTAAGAGCCATCAATCATGACTCAACTTACAAATAACATCTTTCGCTTAGATGCTAGTAGCAACACTTTTAAAGTTCACTGACTTCTATGTTAAGAGATGAAAAGCTATTTTGGAATGTCAGTCTAATGATTAATGGTTATTGTAC